TTCCTCCACTACCAACATGGGGTGCTTTGTGTTCCTCGAGTAAAAATATTTTGGGGGCTTTTATTGCACTATCATGTATATTCCGCTGTAGGTTAAGCTCCATTGACTAGCAGAGGATTGCACTCAAGATAGCAGCCTATCATCAGTGGTAATCGGACTGTAGGGACAATGAAGAGCGAGGAAACCATGGATACCATGCAATCCACTTACTACATATCGTAAACCTGCTTGCGTCTGATTGATAGTTCGCCTACTTTCTTTGTGTTCAGATAGAGTCACGACTTGTAGTGAAAGGGGAGCGAAACTGAAAGAGCGCGTGTTTCAAGTTTGGTATTCTGAATAAAGATTTCAGTGCGCTTTATGCTCGAGTACAAATTTAGCAACCAGACAATATCTAGGCGATATTGCTTTTGGGACATGGCGAAAAATCACGTAAGAGTTGCATTGGGATTAGCTGGGTAACAGTAGGAGATTTTTGTCACAGCTAGGTAATTTGTTAATAACTCGTTGTTCATTGCTTGGCCGTCGAGAGGAGTTATGTAGCCAGTCATTTAGTGCGAACATTTAGTTAGCAGCTACTGGTTAATATACACATCAGCCTTGTTTGACCCAGGAAACGAGAGACCTCGGGACTTTGCGCATGTGACCTGTGTGACCAAGCATCAAATACATCAGATTCTCTTTCCGCCCAAACTCTGAGCTAAAATTCTCTGTCGTCCTCGAACAACACCTATAAATTGTACTACCATGGCTACTGTGAGCGGTTCTTTCAGTACTGACACCAATATTATTCTTGATATTGGAGAAGTCTTACACGAGCGATATCGAGTACTACAGCAACTGGGTGCTGGGCGCTATTCAGCTGTCTATCTAGCGCGGGACCAGAAGTACGCTTTTCCTACGCCGTGCAATACACACAGAATCTTAAGTTTTTCATAGGGAACTATCTTACAAGGCAATAAAACTATTGAGGGAAGATTGCTATGACGGAAAACATGATCTCTTTGAGTTAGAGATACTGAAGCACTTACGCGAGGCGGATCCCAATCATCCAGGCTATCAGCACATTACCGTCCTTCTTGATGACTTCACCTACATTAGCCGGTCGGGTACTCAGCATGTCTGTCTTGTAATGGAGCCAATGGCAGAAGACATGAAGACCTTCCCCCTTTTCTTTGAGGGTGCCCGGATACCTAACCACATCATGAAGAAAGTAACGAAACAATTACTATCTGCCCTGGACTACGCACATGCTTGTGGTGTCATCCACACAGGTAAGTCTATATGCTAATTGATCTACCAAGACATTCGTGTTGACTCTCATTTGCCCAGACATCAAACAAAGTAACATTATGGTGAAATTCCGAAATCTAGCTATAATCGATAAGTATTTGGAAGACTCCTTGTCAAACCCAGCTGCCGATCTTGGAGAGTACAACTTCGATGATGCTTCTGAATTGGTTCAGGCGGATGTTGTACTAGGTGACTGGGGATCGGCGAGTTGGGTCGAGAAGCATCTGACAGACTTCATTCGGCCTACATTACTTCGCGCGCCCGAGGTTATACTTGGGGCACCCTGGGGAACCAAGGTAGATATTTGGAACCTAGGCGCCCTTCTACCCGAGCTCCTGGATGCCTTACGCATGTTCAATGGTAGGGCGGATGTTACAGGTGGTGTTTACCTTACCAAGCACCACCTTGAGGAAATCGAAGCCCTGTTTGGTCCCTTTCCTCCCGAATTGTTGCAATCTGGAGATCCACAAATTGTTCAACAGTTTTTCGACAAGGAGTTCAACTTCCGTGATTGGACCCAGAGACCACCAGCGGTACTGGAGAGATGGATTGAGAGTATTGAGGGCCCCGAAAAAACCAGTTTCCTTTCAATGATACGCTCAATGCTGGTTATCGATCCAGAACAGCGAATGACCGCACTTTCTCTTCAAGATGCGCCGTGGCTTAGTACATAGAATTAAATCATGATGCATACCTCAGATCAGGGGTGAGGGTCAGGCTCAATTGCGAGGCTTCATGTGTATTGCTCAGTAACATAAAGGAAAATCATGTATAAGGTCAGCTACCATTGCGGATAATCGGTAAGCACTTGTAGCCTGGAAGGGAATAGTCCGAGGTTTACCCCGCAAACCTTCTGTTACCGCTTCCTTTGCTGATCAACAGCTCCCTGTTAGTCGGATATGTAAAATGCCAGTCCTTCCCCCGGAAATAAGTGATCGGATAATTCTTCGACCAGCGCCTGATCAATATTCCATATGGAGGGGCGAAACAGTCCAGCAAGCAAACGGCGGATTTCTAAGAAGCGCGTCCGAGTTACGCGGGCTTGTGATGCCTGCAAAAGGTGAGCCAATGTTGGGAGCCTTCACCCTGAAGGGCAAGCTTACACAATAAACGTAGGAAGAAACTGCGCTGTAGTGGGACATTACCCTGTCCGACGTGCCTTAAAGCTAACAAAGCGTGCGAGTACACAGCCGAGTATAACAGGGGCAAGCCCCCTCAGGTCCGCATCGCTCAGCCATCAGTACAGGGCAATGAAAAGCAACAGAAAGCTGCAGCCGAGGGGGGCAGGCCACCTCCTTCACCATATGCGCATATCCTGGAGCGCTATAACATGCCAGACAACCAGATAGACAATCCACCCTCTCGCGCCTCGCCTGAGCATCAAACGGACTTGGAGGGTCATTATGTCGGTCCTTCGTCAGGGGTATCCTTTCTCCTCCGAGCGCAGCGGAGGCTCCACAAATATGTCGCGTTGCCAATTAACACGCCGATATTTACGTTCGGAGATTCTCCACTCCCGGAGGTTGAGTCGACCTTCATGCTATTGCCTCCCCGGAACCAGGCCAATGCGCTCTTGGCCCGGTACTTTGACTTCGCCTTTCCCACACATCGCTTTCTCCATCAGCCCCAGGTTGAGGGCTGGGTTGAAGAATTCTATCGCGCTGTGCAAGAGTCGGAGGCAGTCAGTCCCGGCATGCGGGGAAGAAGGGCAGTGGTTCTTATGGTCTTCGCTCAGGCAAGACAAGGCCAGCCTGACAGGGACCCATCGTCCGTCCGATCTTCGATTAGTAGGTTCGCTGGCACGGAATCCTTTCCAACAGATTTAATCAACTCACGAATGGCCAGTGCGGGCTACTTTACAGCCTCGGAGCAACAGCTTTCCGCCGAGACGGGACCCGTGCGAATAACCAGCGTTCAGGCACGGCTGGCCCAGTGCTTCTATCTTCTATCTCAATCTCGCATTAACCACTGTTGGAGTTTGTTCGGAACCACTGCTCGACTTGCCATGACCATCGGTTTGCACCGTGCAAGAAGACGTGAGTATGGTGCCAAGGTCGATCATATCGAAGCTGAATGTCGGAAGCGCGTCTTCTGGTGTGCCTACAGCTTGGATAACTATCTGAGTGCTGCTTTGGGCCGCCCTCGGATATTTCATGATGATGACATTGATCAAGACTTTCCTACTGTTGCTGATGACTCGTGGATCCTCAGAGACCGAATCCTCACCCCCGTGTCGACGACCCAGAGTATAATGCTTGCTCCACTTTATCATGCTAGGTTGTCCGTCATAATTGGTCGCATACTGCATGACATATATGGAGTTCGCAGAGGTGGCTTACAAGCGGAAGTATCTGCTGCCGCTCAACACGGTGCTGAACTTACCAGTTGGCGTCAAGAGATTTCCGCCTTCCTCGACACCCCGAATGTGGATCTTTTGATGTTGACGTACCAACGCCAATACACAGTGCTGAACTTGGCCTTCTATCACGCACAAATACTACTCTACAGGCCATTTATTCTGCGCAACTTTGGGATCATCAGTCTGGAAAGTCCCCGAGATGGCCCGTCCAATAAACCTATCGACGATTATATCGAGATTTGCCTTGACGCGGCCATGAGGATTGCCGCGATTATCCGCGAGCTTTGCGAGAAACGGCGGATGTATAACACATTCTGGGTACGTAGCGATCATTTCTTCGCTGGTAGTATAAGCTGATTTCGGACAGTTTACACATTACTACGCGTTCTCAGCAATTATGATTCTGTATTTCCGAGTCATCCAGCTGTGTGCCCAGAGAGGCAATGTCGAGGAAGTATGCCTCAAATATCTGCGGACAGGGGAGTGCGCCCAGCAAGATCTCGCTAGCTGTAGCTCCCACTCGTCTTTCGTACAGCGCTATGTCGTCGTTCTCGAGGAGCTTCGCCAAGAGGCGCGAACGGCTGTCAATCAGCCTGTACCCCATGATCATAGGATCTCACACATTGGGGCTCCACACTACGAGGAAACAATCCTCCCGGGTGAACCTACACTGAATCAAATCGAGATAGCTGGCGAACCACGGAGTGGCAGCCTGGTACCTCCTATGACGGAGGGCAATCTTTCCCAATGGGAACAGGATTTAACTGACGATGGCTTTACTGTGCCTGGCCTTTCAGGATCTGCAGAATGGGAAGGAATCGACTCCTTAGCTATCGCAGGACTGGGGGAGTTAGACTACCTGTTCCCTCATGTAGACCATCCGGGAAAATAACACCCCTGGTCCTGGAAAATATGTTGACGGAGCCGCATTGACGGAATTTTTTTGATAGCCCCGCAGTGCCTCTTTATATAAATCTATCTATAGCTATGTACTTTGAAAGATATACCAGAGAGCTATCCCAGTACTAAGAGAAGATATATCTATTCTGAAAATTTGCCAAGGCTATAGTCTTCCACATTTCCGACTCCAGCTTTGTGACTGACGGCTTTTCCGTGTGGCTTATTTTCCGCCTGAGAGTCCGGAAAAAAAAAATCTCGGATAAGTCTACTGTGCCGAGGCAATACCCCTATTTATCTTTTCGAAAGATCTTTACCAGTGCTCGCAATTCTACTCTGAAGACTTTGCGTGATCTCTAACCATCCAGTTTTGTTCTCATGATGTCTAACATACAATTTCACCATCCTTCATTTTGTTTCAATCGTCGCTCGCATAACCAGAATTGTAGCTTCATCGAATTCCATGCCATGCTTTTCCCTCGTAATCGGTTACTTCGCACTCAATCACGCTTTCCACCCCAGCACCAGCGCTCCAGATCTGTACGATCCTCAGACCAGCTCGTCTCTCAATCAAGTCATACCACGCGGCCCGAGTGCGCTGTTCAGAGGAGAACAGCCCCAACATCATCATGTCAAGCCCAGTAATTTCCCAGTGGGCCCCGGTCTCTGGGACAACAAATTCATTTATCAAGAGCCTGCTATACCGGGGTTTCAAAGCATCCTTGACACGCTTAAGTAGTGTTTCACATACATCATCACACCAGTTATGTAAAGTTGAGTGTATGTAGTAGGCTCGAGCGCCTGGATATATACAAACCATGCATTAGCCCAAACGCGATATGAGAAGAAGTGAAAAAGACCGAACGCACCTTTAACAGGTTGCTCATCCCGAAAATCATACTCCATACACACCATCGATGAATCTAAATCCTTAATTTGGCGAACCATCATGGGTAAGTCTTGGAGGATAAGCTTCCCGGGCGCATCTGGAAATGCAGCGCGGAATCTTTCCAGATCGTGGCCTACATTACCGCCGATGTCCACAAGAAAAGGCGCATCCGGACTAGGATCAGCGCCTTTAATGAGCCTCTCCTTAACAGGATACACATCAGGGTTAATCCACCATCGGCGACCGAGATTGTAACCACCTAAGTAATCATTCAGGTGCTTTCCATAACCTAACTCGTTCACCCAGATGAATAGGTCTTTGTCAGTTCCGTAAGCATTCATCAAAGATGTGTCTTCAGGGTTATTTGGGTTTGTCCATCCACGCTTGCGAGAGAATCCATGGAATTTTAGACAGCCAGCACTGGTACATGAAGTGCTAGTGCGCAACGGAATAGCTACATTAGCGGTTACTTTATCAAGGGCTATAAGTGTAGAGTATACTCACAGACCGAGATATCCATTTCCAATTTGCGGAAGACTAAGGGCTTTGGTATAATTAGTGGGCTGGTACTCGTCCTCACCGACCTCATTGAGGAGACCCATGGCGCTGAGGTGGCGCATAAGACGACCCGGTGATAAGTTAGCGAGGTCCGTAGCACTGATTGAGGTGGCACATACTGAGAAGTTTCGGTTCGATTCCTATGCTTGATGCCAGGTCTGAGACCCTCTGCGGTTTATCTCCATTCTGGGCCATTAAGACCCACAATCCTGAGTCCACACCAAACCCTACTGCCATCATAGCTCCGATCTATTGCGATCAGTACCCTCCTAGATATATTCAAAATTGAGGCGCTTACCTGACCCCAACAGTGATCAGCCATGATCTCTCGAGGGGTCGATAAAGCTAGGAATAACTGTCGACATTTGTATATAGCAGCTTTGCGGATTCCATCGGAATCAGTACCCAAGCGTTTAACATCTTCTGCGATTTCACTCAATAACTTGGGAGTTTTATCAAGATTGCTAGGACATGAAGCGACTGAGATATCTACAGTAGTTGAATCTTGCACTTTGTTGTCTCCGTCCATTTTTACTGATACAGCTAAAGAAGGGAAAGGACGCCCAAGGAGGCGCTTATATGAAGAGGGGTTAATGCAAGGGTCTGCTTGCCGCCTTTGAAGTAGTCAGGGTATGTAGGAAAGCAAAGAGAGAGAACAGTGTCGTCCTTGAGATCCCCTGTCCTGCTTGATGGAAATTTTAGCCGAATTTGGCCATTCCATGCAGCATCATACATATCCTGGATGTGAACCATACATCTCTACTACAACAGCATCCGCGGCATTTCCAGGTCCAGATTGCGGGTCAGCTGTCATTTACCTCAACATGCGAACATGCCGATGTTATAGATGCTATTCCGTTTCGGGAAAAAGTCATTTTGCTCGTAGGAAGTCTCTTGGACAATTTTACAACATTTGACAGGTTCCAAATGCCCGGAATACCATTATTTCCCGTCCAAGGGACTCCAACTCGTATTGGTCTTATGACCTGCCATTATCGGACATAGCTCGTACTACTACTGCCTTGATATATTGTTCTAATTTGCAGGGATCCGCCTGCGAACTGGTGACGAGTACTCTCATTCCATGAGCGATTGCTATTAGATGCAATACTTCATATGCTAGATAAGAGGAACCAGTAAGTGGTAGACCTATTTATCGATACCGAAAATGTCCAGCTCTCCATCATTTCCCGCAATCTCCACCGACCACGCCATGCCACTTATGAAAAATGTTCTCCTGATCATACCTATTCTTCACCATCCTCAGCCTCTCCAAATTTTCTCCATATGCGTCAGTAGGCTTTACCGGCTCGTTCTCCATATTCAGATAACGCCCCACTGGCCCTTTCTCGGGATGGTCCCCTTCACCGTGACATTGACGCTCATATCCGTTGACATTCCGTATCGTCGCGCATAACTTCGCGTTAAATCGACGAACAGCCACATCAAGATTGGGATCAGTCCATCCAAAGATGGTAACAACATCATAGTACGCCCCGCGATTGGCGTATACAGTAGCATGCTGGGGAACTTCGCGTAGCTTGTGGGTGGAGAAAAGTTCCACTGCCATGGAGCAAACAGTAACATTCGGATGGTCATCATGGAACGACCAGACCATATCCGCCATTCGCTGAAAAGCTTCTATTTGCAGGGGCATCGTGACATTCGCAGAGCCTTGGTGACGGCGCATTCCGTATTCGCACAATGGGTTCTGTAAGGTGTTGACTTCGGCGATGGACATCATTCTAGTTGAGTTCGTGATAGGTTTCATGTCAAGCAGTCCTGAGAAGTAGCCCTTGGCTTCCCCATCCGAACCCTGATAAAGTGGGACAGCAGTGAGGATACGGGTTGTTCCATCCAGCGTGTGCCCCACGCCGATAGTCAAGCAATGACCTTCGCGATTAGCTCGGTTGTGGAACTCGTTTGCGAATGCCACAAGTTCAGGTAGGGAATCCGGTGCAAAGACGAGGATCCCGCTCCATACCTCTTCTTGGTGGTGGATACGGTACAGAAATCGCGTTACGACGCCAAGCTGCGCCCCAGCTCCGCGGACGGCCCAAAACAGGTCTTCACTTTCTGTTTCAGAGGCTTCAAGGATGCACCCATCGGCCGTAACGATCTGGACTTCTAAGAGGTTGTCGATCGCGAGGCCATGCTTCGCTGTCAGCCATCCATGGCCACCACCCAGGATCAGCCCCCCAACCCCGGTGTGGTTGACTGCACCCCCGACGACAGCTAATCCGCGGGCCTCTAATGGCTTGTCAATGTCGGCCCACACACATCCCCCCTCAAACGACACAGTCATGTTGGTCTCATTGATTTCGACCTTTCGCATATTTCCGAGATGTATGAGCATGCCTTCTGATGATGATGCACCGCTAGTCGAATGACCACCGCCACAAACAGCCAGGGAGAGCTTGCTGGCGAAGGCAAACTTCACCGCCGCAGCTACCTCTGCAGCACAGGTCGGCCCAGCATCATCTGCGGGAGGACCCTGACCAAGGGGATGGCTGGCATTATCCTGGATAGTAGGTACTATATGTTCAAGATTCTCCACTGGAGGCTCCGGCTGTTCTTCATGATAAAAAGCTAGTAATGAATCTTAAGACAATTCTAGAATAATAATTTATACTACATCCGGGTTCCTATTATATATCACATGCGCCGGTTAGTCATCAGAAGATCTCAATAGTAAATTCTGTTTTTCTGGAGATCTAGCTGACAGTTCCAAAACTGGCTACTTCTGGTAAGAAAGACCAAGCTCTTTCTCGAGTCACTTATATTCTAACTTTTTCTTCAGTCTTTCCTATTCTTCCTAGGCCCTCATCAGTTAGTCAAGATATTTAATTAAGACTGGTTATTATCCAGCAGGACCACTAATACTCAAAAAATTACTGTCCTCAATTTCCGTAGACTATAGTTATGATAGATAATTAATACACACCTAATCTTCAAGATTATTATCCTGAGATAGATCTTCTACTGTTAATCTATTATCTAAATTCTACTCAAGCAGGGTTTCCTCAAATAAAATTCTTGTATAATAGTTATAGATATCTACTTCTTTTAAAGCAGCAGGGCCATGTGTGGGATGCAGTATAAGAGCAGTTACTAGATCAAACTGTATTAATGTATCTTATGAGCCTTTGTCAGGAAGTTTCTGGGATAATAGTCAGATATATCCTGATCCAAGGGCTCCATACTCAGATATTCTAATTTTATAAAATCATACTCCTCAGATTTATTATTCTCTTCTCTTGTTAAATATAACTGACGCCTGTATATCTGAGCCTTCCGTGTCCATTATCAGTTCATAATATCCCGGTTTCTTTCAGCTCTCAGTACCTGCTGGCAGCATAGAGAATATCACTTCTTATCTTGTCAGGCCGCTTGCCCCTGTAACTGTTCTTATTCTTATTAAAATAATTTCTTTGATAAAACTGCTTGCAGAGCAGATTTATAATTACTAGATGGACTATCTTCTCCAATAAACAACAACAACTGGAGAATATCCCCGGGAGACTCTCCGGCCCAGTCACTGCCAGTAGGTCCAGGTCATATAAATCTTCTGAAGAAGGAAATAGACACAGCAGCAGATATAAAAGCTAGTAATCATGTCAATGACTTTAATATCATCAGTATATAAATGGTCCAGGAAGAGCAAAGGACTATTTTACTTATAGATTCATTTTCATAGCATCCTGCAGCAAACCCGGGATTTCATAGTACTGTCTGCAAGAAGATTATGTCCTATATCAGATTCATAAGACACTGTTATTGCAAAACACTCAGCAATTCAGTTTACCAGGATATTGAACTGTCGGGTATTATATCAGAACCAATTAGATTTCCTGGCCTGCAGTAGAGCTGCCCATGCAATCTGATGGTCAGGGGAGCCATCTACCAAAACATCAATTTCTGGAGACTTGAATCCGAGCCGGCGAGCAAGTCCGGCCATCTCGTAGATCACTCTTTCATCTTGCAGAGAGTTCCAGAGTATGTACTTTCTTCTACTATTCGAGTGTAGCCTGATACTAATGGTACAGACTACGTGTTACGGCCGATATCTCTCATTGGGTGGTCGTCTGTGAGAGACTCCTTGATCAAGGCGAAGAAGACCGTGAGATCCTGGACCGCCTGATCCCTCATGTATGCTTGCTTCCTGGCTCGGCTACAACCAATAACTGACATATATCCCAGGTCCGCCATATCCATGCACGCATGGGAACAACCCAGTCGTCACAATGCCCTGAGCCTCTAAATCCTGCATTTGGCGCGGAGCGGCAATTCTTCGAAAGCCTCTGGCTTCGAATTGTCAAGTCGAGACAGCAGACAGATCCCAACTGCCGAATCACTTGGGTTCCGTAATACGGGTAAGTAGCCACTCTTGCGAGGTTGTTGGGCATTCTAACAATGTATACAGCCCCTTCCCGTACCATCCGATAGGCACCGCTCAGACTTTCGAAGAGCTAGCAGACAGTGAAGGGAAGCGTCTGGAAGCGCTTTTTGAGTCCGCTGTCAGCCAGTCTTAGTTAGTCTTTGATGCTTATTAAGCCAGTGCAAATAAATACTTAACCAGATAGACAATGATTGAGAAGGGTGTTCATGTAAGATCTCTGGCGTCGAACTAGTAGATATTTCTAGAATACTGCTTCAAGACAGGTATTCTACGATAAGCAATATATTAGGTTGGCATTGCGACCGTGTGCATCTTCTGGAGATTGCTGCTTGAAACTGCGGTCACCCAGTATATCTCAAAGGAATTATAAGTGGAAGTTATATTGAATATCTCCAGCTCAAGATATACTAGCCAATGTTGGCCACTTACTCAAAGAAGGCCTAGAACGCTTGCACATAATATATCAACTTACATAGATGGTCAAAGTACTTATTGATAATGAGTTCGATCACGAAATTGATGTATATACCCAGCTAGTACTAGGTTGTTATAGCATGTAATATCAGGACCAGTAAACTTGCCCTGCGGAGGTCTTCTTGTTTTTCAGATTAGTTGCCTGATATATTATATAATCATCATTTGCGAACTGTTCCCAAATTATTGGCTATTCGTTCCATAATATCCCGTTCACTGTGACTGCTGGGAGAAGAACTGGCGCCAAACTTTATTTAAAATAACTCCCATAGAATACTATAATAAGTTTTCTTCAGGATTGAAGACGCTGCGAGCAACACCCGTGTTAGAAGAGCAGTGAATGTAGGTCTTGGGGAGTGGATTCTCCCTTGTTCAATATCAATTTAGTTTCACTAAAGGCGGCCAAGTATCGGATTATGCATCTTTCAAAACCCTGATACAAACCCTATGTAGAACATACAAAGACATGCAATCCAGAGACTCTCCATATTTTTATAGTACAAGAGTATAAGTTCCAAGGCGATATTGACTGGAAAGGCGTTTGCAATCCGAGTAGTAACTGGGAGTAACCAAGCTGTACCAAGTAGTAAAATATATACTGCGGAGAGACCACGCGAGGAGGATTAGCGTGTAGTAGGAATTAATCACTGCTATTACGTGAATTTATATAACACTGGGCCTCTGCTTAGACTCGTGCAGCTGTATTTCCACACTGGCAACAAAACTGAACATACCCCAATAGTGAGTGTATTGTGATCCGGTCTGGTTGAGCAAGCTGGACGCAATACATCCACTTGTTGGCGGAATATTTGATACCCCTCATCTGAGTGACCCTAGGAGAAGTTCCAATAGCCTACAAATGACGTCTATAATAAGCCCACCGGTAGATCTCTCTAGACTTATAGCAAGTGATAGCCCCTTTAGTATCCTCTGGCATCTCACCTTCCCTACCTACCTCCCTCATCTTCCCGAGTATCCGGGATAGAATATCAACTAAACCACAGGCTCATTAAACCGAAACACATTCTCCGGATCCCACACCTCCTTCAGTTTGCGTAACCGTGGCAGATTCCGCGCACTGTACAGTATCTCGGATGCCTCATCCCCGTGAGCGTAGTTGACGTAGATCTGCTGTGGCGAGAACCCACTACTCGCTTGGAGGTCTGCGCGCGCCTTGACCCCGAAGGCATTGACCGGTCCTTCCAGGTCGCCGGCGGGGTATCCGAAATTCCAGAGTCTGAAATGCGTGGGAATTTATCAGTCGGGCATTCATCCTATGCATTGCATCGAAGGCAAAACTAGGGGGAGGGGAGGGGAAGACCTACAAATGAGCTGTGATATCCCTATACGGATAGGCAGTGGCCTTGTCCGGGACGGACAAGACCTTCGCCTTGGGAAAATGCTCGATAAAAAACACGCTAGATTGCGCATCCGGATATTCGAGATAGAAGTCCTGCATCTCGGTGAAGAAGGTGTTGAAGCTGGAGATGTCATAAGACTTGACGCTGCCGCCGTAGACGTTCCGATACAAACCCTTGGTGCAGGCGGCCATGCTGGGCTCGGCGGCAAAGAAGGCCGTGTAGGTTAGATCTTTCCAGGGCACGACGGTGATGTTCTCTCGAACGGGCGTTGCGTCGCGGAGCAGCGGGGCCAGAAGCTGGTCGAGCTCGTCTTTGGGGCCGGCGTAGACGGCATTGAAGGTGAAGCTCAGGCCGCCGTACGCGGCGACATAGGTGACGTAGGAAATGAGAGACAGCTTCTCTGGCATGGCTGTCTCGAAGGATTTGAGGTAGGTCAGGAGGGCGGTGCTGGCGTTCATGGGGAAAGCGAAGTCGGCGTTGGTCACGTACTGCGAGGTGAGATCGGTGATGCGGTACGTCGCCTCAATGACGATTCCGTAGTTGAAGCCGGCACCGCGCACGGCCCAGAAGAGGTCTGCGTTCTTGGTCGTCGAGGCGGTGATGATCTCCCCGGTGGCGATAATAAGACGCACACTGATGAGGGCATCGAGGATCATCCCGTGGATGCCATTGTATCGACCGAGGCCACCACCGAGCGTGGCGCCTAACATGCCCACGCAGGAGGAGGTACCGGTTGCTGGCGACGTGGAAAAGAACTGATCAGCTCAGAGGGACATTGTCAGAGCGAAAAACAGCAGAAACGTACTGATTTCTTTCCCGGCATTGTACAAAGGCTCGTACACATCCCCGAACCGCACGGCGGCCCCGATGCGCATGGTATTGGCGGCAGCATCCACCGAGACATTGCGAAAATTACTGAGGTCTAACATAATACCATTCTGAAGCGTACCGTAGGAGGTGGTAAACCCATGGGCGCCGCCAGTGGCCAGAAAGGAAATGTTGCTCTTGGCAGCAAACGCAACCTGCGGATTCTTAGCTTACTATGCATGGTGGTACATCAATTCCCTTCAGCCTACCAGCTTCTGAACGTCCCTCTCCGTGGCAGGTTTCACAGCTGCAAGGTAAGTCGGACTATCATGGAGAGTCCATCGCTGGGTCTCATTGGTCCAGTCCGCATCGGAAGGGGAGAATATCTCCGTGGCAGGGGAGAGGCCCAGCAGGGGTGACAATAGGACCGACGAGAGGTTGGCGGCGGGGAAACCTGCGAAGACGACTGGCAGTAGATGCCAGACACTTCCTAGGGTCAGCAACCGCGATATGCGCATGTTGGTTTGATGATGCTATTGTGCCTGTCGAGTGCCATTGAACCGTGTGCCAGCGCCTGTCTTATACCAGGGCTTCCTCGGGCTATCTGTCACCAGAGGTGGTGAATGAGCGACCTACGTCTTACTCGGATGAAAAGGAAAAGCAATATTGAGACTATCCGTGGGATAGGTACTATCTATGGGATAGTATCTAGCAATACTCGGCTGAAACCTCGCGATCATTCTGGTACATCCAATGACGACTTCGGATATGGATCTGTTGGCATCCTAGCCGTTGCTGATTAGTGCACGGAAATGGCGGAGAAGGCGTATTACACTAGAGCGTAACTATTTAATCAATAAGCGCTAAGCTTCTAGTCGAAGAACCATCGGGCATCCCCGATTGGTCAAATCTAATGCATCTAATGGTGGAATGAGCCCCATACTAACGAGTCAGGCAAGCCACGGGAGCCACTATATAAATCTCTATACAGATTGGCCCGCCAAAAGTGACAGGGGCTTTGCTGATCTGCAGGACCAGGCTGAATGAACAACGCTCTGCATTTCTCGACCTGATGCGGGCTCACTTCTCTTCTCACGCCTCGCTCGGGCCTAATCTGGGCTTAAATCCGCCAAACTCCGACAAATTTCTCTAACCTGGCTCGGTTCTATGTCAGGCTTAATTCCGTCAAACCCCGACATTCCCCTCCCCCTCCACTGATCCCCGATCGCCGTTGGAGCTGGTTAAAGAGAGAGAGCTTCACCAGACCTTTCTTCGAAGGAATCACTCGTTCCACATCTGGTTCAGCTTCAATAAGCACTAGTTTTTCCGCCCCGCAGGCTTCTCCTACATTATCGTTCCGAACTCGGCCGCTGCTGAGAATTCAGTTACACCTCGCCGCTAGTTACCTCTACCGCAGCGACAATGTCCGAAAAGGTCGTCCTCTGTACCGGTGCCAACCAGGGACTGGGCTTTGCCATCATCCAGGTGGCCGCGCTGCGTTATCCCACCCACAAATACATTCTGTGCAGTCGCGACCTGGGCGCCGGCCAGCAGGCAGTGCAGAAGCTGCGCGATCTGGGGGTGACGGCGGCGATTGATCTGGTGCAGTTGGATGTGACCAAGGACGAGCAGATCACCGCTGTGGTGGACAAGGTGACGTCCACTTACGGTAGATTGGATGGTAAGTGTGAGCCTTCTGCACAAGTGGTGACACTTGGATGTTCTTTCATCAGAAGATGTGATACCCCAGCATTCCCCGTCACTATCCCATTCCCCGCTCCAATCTCACCTCATCTTCCTTTCCCACTTTCCTACACCCAATCAGCAATGCAGAAGGGAACGTAACAGAAAGCACTCATGAATTCTGAGTAATAACACAATAAAAATAGTCCTGATCAACAACGCGGGCATCATCCGTCTTCCCTCCGCCACGGATCTTCCCGCCGCGCGCGCCACCTACAACGAGATCCTCAACGTCAACATCACCTCCGTCGCGCTGATGACCACAGCATTCACGCCGCTGCTCTATCAATCTTCCGGTCCCAAAGTGATCAACATCTCCTCCGGGCTCGGGAGCATCCAAAACTCACTGACCAAAAAGATGGGCCGTGCGCCCGCCTATGGGGCCAGCAAGATCGGCATGAACGGATTGACGGTCCACATGCAAGTGGCCGAGAATGATCGCATCGAGAAGGAGGAGGCTGAATCGACCGGAAGTGGTGGAAAGCCGCGCATCCGGTACTATGCCTGTGCACCGGGGGCGTTGAAGACAGCGTTCACGAACTGGTGGCCCAATGGGCGGTCGCCCGAAGATGGGGCGGAGGTGGTGGTGCAGTTGTTGGGAGATGATGAGGGCAAGTTTGAGGGAGGTTCGTATTGGGAATTTGTGGAAGGAGAGATGAAGGTCGTACCTTGGTAGTTGGTAGTTTTCACTGTCTCTACACACTGTACCTAAGAGGGATGGTTGACACTCCTGGGTGCCTTCTTGGATGCAAGATATGCAGATTCTGGCCGCATGAATGGTACGTTCTTACTGTATCGTACACGGTAGTTGTACTAGACTGGATTGAATTGAAGTGAATCATATAAATTAGTACAGTAGGTGCAGCTGACTCCTCTCAGCTCGGCAAACAAGCTAGAGCCAGGCCAGCGTGGACGAACCGCGGGGGCAAAGGGGTAGTGGGTAGTTCGGGGTAAGCCGAGGCGGGGATACGCCCATCTCGAGCGTCCAAATGTCCAACGAGAAGGTCTCCCGTGGATTCAGGTGTGTTGTCGAATCTCCTGGCATCAGCGAGTGGAGCGAAGGGCAGGAAGAAGCAATGCCTGAGGAGCCTCGCAGGGTTACACTCGTATAAACCCCCTCTTCAGCCGATTTCAAAGGGGCCGCCAATCAAGACAGAGGATCCAGACTCGCTAAGACGACTTTCAGATCCCGAGAAATGTGCTCCTCAGCTACTTCCATTGAAATTAAAATCGTGTGGGGCTTTCGGGCCGAAGAAGCCACTAATTATTGGTGCGGTTTTAGATGCCGGAATTATTCGGTGACAATGCCTCACATCAGCAGTCACATCAGCATAGTATTTACAATATCTTCTAGCTATAGTGAAGGAAATTTTTCCATAGCAGGTTACTGTACTACAGCAAACCAGTGACGGTAGATAGCTCATATCAAATTGTATCAATGCCAACAAGATCTGAACCCCAATATACTATTCCACTATCCATACCGACGACATAGATTGCTACTGTCCTAATACTAGATATACGCCTTGTCCCTTCTGCCTAACTGACAGAGTTATTCAAGCCTGGAAGGTCAATACTTCCTTATTCTCATCTCGCCTTTTGAGTAAGTTCTCCAGACCCACGATCTTGCTCCTCCCCCACTCCTGACTCGTCAGCACCGGCGCCTGCTGCTGCTCCGCAGTTGGTGCCGGGATGAGCGGACTGCCTGAGAATGGGACCATCGGCAGGCAGTTATTCGGCCGCGTGCCAATCAGCACGCTGTACTTGTCAAAGGGCGCTTGGAGACCAGGAGCCCGCACCACGCGGTGCAACCCCGATTTCAGAACCTTGTTCGTCATAATCTCCATCGCATCGCCGAGGTTGACGATGGCCGTACCCGGCACGGGCTTGACCCAGCGCCAGCTGTCTTCCGTGACCGTTTCGGGCCCCAACCAGGTGGCATTCGCGGCGGGGATCTGGAGCCCGCCCAGCCAGGTGAAGAGAATGGCCAGGCTGATGGCGTCTTTGTGGGCGGGGAACGTCAGCTGGTCCACGATGCCTGGCTTGAGGCCCGTGTAGCGCAGCAGCCGGAGGAAGTCACTCGAGGGGTCTTCCAGTCGGTGGGCCGAAGTGATCGTGCCAGGCTTCAGCTGGAAGGCATCTTCTAAGACGCCGAAAATTACATTGGCGAGCTGATTACCCTGCTGCATGGTCCTGCGGTACAGGTCCACATGTGGGGCCAGCCAGGAGGGTAATTGAAAATCTTTTCGATGTTCACTGGGTGGAGCAAAGAGCTCAGTCATTGGGATCTGGATTATGGCCCAGGTCGTCAGCTGAAGGTCGAATTCTGTGGCCTCCCTTCCAGGGCACGGAGACTAGAAATCGAGAAGGATGAGAGAAGGGTAAGTGACCTACATTGATGGTCTCACTGTAGCGAGGCTCTCCGTCGGGTAAGACATCCTTCGTGAAGTATCTAAAAATTGATGAAGTTAGGGAATCTTCCCTTCGCTATCCTCCCGCCCAGAGGAAGCCTTTCTGGCAGGCAATACACTTACCCCATATCGAAGACCCCAATGCGGTCTCTCGTTTTAAATGCCTTCTTTTCTGCCATCGGCAGCTGGGGAAAAATACTCTGACCTAATCGACAGCAGCTGACTACGTTGCGAAGCATCTGCAACCCATCGGGATGGTCCGTCAGGTCGAGATAGAAGAATCCCGGATCCTGGCAGATAGCAAACATGCGCTGAGCCTCCGCAGGGTCTTTTGCGAGGAGCTTGGCCAGCGAGATGGTCTCCAGCTCGACGATAGGGACATCATCGGGAAAGGGAGCTGGGTAAAGATCGCTCATGTCAATGTCCGCAACGACATTGGATTGATCAATTCTGCCGGGAGACATTTTGAGAACGGTAGGGGAACGTAGTATGCGGTATGTGATACTCGGTGAAGGTACTGGGGCGAGATGCTGAAGCAAGCGGGATAGAACCTGTTCGAAGGCCAGGGATTGGAAGTCTCTTTAACGGTTTCGGGGAGTGTCATGGTGGAGAGACTCAACGAATTACCACTTGAAGGGGATGCTCGGGATACTGCACCCCGATGGAGCACTGTGTCTCATGCCTGAGAATCACGCACCTTCACTGGGATCAGCTGCTGTGGTAGTGCCATAAAGCACCTGATGGACAGCCTGCATCCAGATTCATGCTGCGTAGTATCATATGATCGGGGATGAAGGAATTATGCAGCATACACTTCGCCGATTCCACTATACCTTCTGGTATAGATTGAGGGCATTTACCCGAAACTCCATTGACCAGGGTCCGATATCTCCGCAGTGGCAAAGGTGACAGCAGGATTGCTGATTGCATGGGAGTCGTATGCTGGTCGTATTACTGGGATGGGATATCACTGCATGTAGGAGATACCGCACAGATCCCGAACTTGCATATGCTATCAATTTACAGAGCCAATCTACCCGCTCAGTCGATCAGCCCCAATCATTAACTCCGACACCAGGGTCTCATCTGGTATCTGATCTGCATGATTATTCACTGATATACGCATAAGGAATTGTACGGTTCAATGCCTACGGAATGAGGGGTAATGGCCGTCATCCAGTCGCAAGCAGCTTCCCACGCTTGGCACTGCAGCTTATTCGGATAAGCAACCACACCGTCCGTAGCTCAGAGTAACCGGGCAGCGAGGTTTCCCTTTCTGTAGAAACGCGGTTTCGCCTAGTCCTTCTCAGAAATATCCAATCCAAAAGCGTGGGCCCCAGCTGAGTGAGAGGGGATCTGCAGTCAGAGTTTAGAAACACACTGCCCGTATCTTCTCCGCACCGGCTCATCCGATTCCTTCACCAGGTGCTGCATCGGTGATGGTCATCTGGAGCCCCTTCGTCAATCCGGGCCGCCTGCTCAATCATTGTAAACCGCGGAGCTTCGGCAGGTACCTGTACCGACTAGTCAAAAAAAAGATACTAGCAAGATTCTGGGCTTGTAAGACTTGCTCGAGAAACGAGACAGAAATCCTCCCAGAGTCAATTCTAGTCAATAACAGGACAGCTATCATTTCATAGGCACAAGCATCAATGTATATCTTGATATATACTAACAATCGGCCTATGATACCTCAGTTTCCTTTGGCACATATATACATAGACTTCAATATCAGTGCCTTATGTATGATTTATTCAAGAGTATAGTAATACTATGTGTTGATTACTGTAGAATATTACGCTGTAAAGTACCCTTCTCCACTGCAGCCGAAGGACAATATACTAGTCATAAATTGCAGGTGGTCAAGGTTCCTGCTCCTGAGACAATCAGCCCCGAGAGACTAGATATTAGCACGGGGGCTAAGACCGGCATGATGAAAACCACTCAGGTAGACCTATATCAATCTAAAAGATCACGGACTTTAGGAACTTGGATTGGTTAGCCAGTACTGCTTCCTTTGGCCCGGTGAATGAAAAAGGAGATATTGGGCGATCTGATACTCCTTAGATATCGTACATAAGATATCTTATTGAATGAACCGGCTCAATACGATAGGACCAATAATATGAGAGTTACTGTTCACCACCCTTCGTACTTTCTGCCTATTATTACCAATACTCTAGACAATTTCAGACTAAGCGAATAGCCGGGACTGTAGATCCAAATCCCGATGAATGGATCACTTAGTCTATCCAATAACCACCAGAAGAATTCCTCATCACCTCCCCGGCCGACTCCACGCATAGATCTGGACCGCATGACGATGCAGTAAGATGCTCAGCTCGCCAACATCGTCGCGGAATCCCGGAAGACGCGGTGCAGCTAAAGCCTCGCACGATTACAGTCAGTCTACTATGTGGGACACCGCTCTAGTTGTGTGTCGGCGGCTGCTGCGTTACACCGGCTACCTTTGCCTTGAGGAAGGCCTGATCAGCGTCGACAGATAGCGAGAGAGCAATGAGATTCCTTCGAAGGTAGACCGAGATATTCATTTCTGTAAGCAAAGCTGAGCTTGGATGAATAAGTATATATACCCTGGATCTCGTTTGCGGTATACCCACCAGAGCACACAACTGCCCTAAAGAATCAGACTTCTCTGTAACTCCATTATCGCCTTCAGTATATCTCTTCCTCACCTCAACTTCGTTTCGCTAGACCAGTGCCTCATCATGCCCATCCCAACCCCAAAGACGCCTCCCCAGACCAATGGCAATGGCGTCGACGGACACTCGAATGGCCTCCGCCTGAATGGCAAAGATCACGATGGCATGCAAGGCCAGATCGCCATCTGCGGAGTAGCGATGCGCCTCCCCGGAGGCATCCAATCCCCCGACGCATTCTGGGATCTGTTAGAACATGGTCGGGATGCTCGCGGGCCCGTGCCTTTGTCCCGATATAACCTGGAAGGATTCGATGACTCCCTAGAGGGGAAGGAAACGATCAAGACCCGGTTTGGGTACTTCATCGAGGACGACCTGACGACGTTGGACGCGTCCTTCTTCTCCTTGACCAAGAATGAGCTGGAAAAGTGCGATCCCCAGCAGCGGAAGCTGCTCGAGGTGACGCGCGAGTGTCTGGAAGATGCCGGCGAGGTCAACTACCGTGGCGAGCGTATCGGATGCTATGTTGGCACCTTTGGCGAAGACTGGTTGCAGATGAGTGCCAAGGAGTCTCAACACTCCGGGGGATACATAATGACCGGGCATGGCGATTTGATGATCGCCAACCGCGTCTCATACGAGTATGACTTCCACGGGCCCAGCCTGGTCATCAAAACCGGGTGTTCAGCATCCTTGGTAGCGTTGCACGAGGCCTGCCGAGCGCTGCAGACTGGCGACGCAACAGGTGCCATCGTGGCGGGCACCAACCTGATTATGGGGCCCACCACCACGGCAGCAATGACGGCGGAGGGGATCCTGTCCCCGGAAGGCTCATGCAAAACGTTCGATGCCAAAGCCGATGGGTTTGCGCGTGCAGAGGCTATCACTGCCGTGTATATCAAGCCCCTTGCCGCGGCCATTCGCGACGGGAACGTCATCCGCGCAGTGATCCGCGCCACTGGCAGCAATAGCGACGGCAAGAGTCAAAGTCTGATGAGCCCGAATGGGGCAGCTCATGAGGCTTTAATGAGGCAGGTGTATGAAGATGCAGGGCTGGACCCTGCAGAGACGGCCTATGTTGAGGTGCGTACTATGTTCCTATTCCATCCGGCTCGTAGACCCGCCACACTGCAGACGTTGACGAAGATGATACCAGTGTCACGGCACAGGAACTCCCACAGGCGATCCCATCGAAACCACCGCAGTGGGAAATGTGTTCGGCCAGAAAGGGGTCTTCATTGGCTCTGTCAAACCCAACATCGGCCACTCGGAAGGATCTTCGGGTATCTCGAGTCTGATCAAAGCAGTGTTAGCCCTCGAACATAACATAATCCCCCCCAACATCAAGTTCAACAACCCGAACCCCAAAGGTCGGAGGAATCCCCTTTACCTCGTGAAGATGTTATACTGACTGGCTGGCATAGTTCCATTTGCTGAAAAGCAGCTGAAGGTCCCTCTCGTCGCCACGCCGTGGCCGGACGACCGCGCTCGTCGCATCAGCATCAATTCTTTCGGGATTGGCGGTGCCAACGCTCATGTATGCCAGTCCTCTTCATACCCCATGAGTCCGTCCCGGATTGCACAGTGGCTAACCCCCTGCAACGTAGGTCATTGTTGACGCTTTCGTGCGGGACGCAACTCAATTGACCGCAGAGGAGACAAAGCCCAAACCCACGTTGCTGGTATTTTCAGCCAACACACAATCCTCACTCACACAGAAGATCGAACAATTTCAGCAGTGTGTACCCGAAAGCCCCCAGTTGGCTTATGATTTCGCGTACACCTTGGCCCTTCACCGAGAGCATCTCCCTTACAGAGCCTTCGGCATCTGGGATCATGGCGCCTTTTCTGAAACATCAGGGCTTGCTAAGGTACCTAGTCGTGTCCCTGAGGTTACCATGATCTTCAGTGGACAGGGTGCCCAATGGGCGCAGATGGGCAAGGACCTCCTCGAAACGGATGTAGAATTCCGTCGAGACATTCATGCAATGGATGAGGTTCTGCAGAGCTTTGCATACCCCCCAAACTGGTCGATATCAGGTAGGCGATAACACTCTGCCTTTGATTCAGTGCATCTACGGAGGACCTTACAATCAACTGACATACCGCAGATGAGCTTCAGAAGTCCATAGAGAGTAGTCAGATCAACCGCGCAGAGCTTTCCCAGCCACTGTGCACTGCTATCCAGATTGCCCTGGTCAACCGGTTTCTCGCCGCAGGGATCGAGCCGAGTGCCGTAATTGGCCATTCCAGCGGTGAGATCGCTGCTGCGTATGCGGCCGGCATCATCACCATGGAGGCGGCGATGATTATCGCCTACTATCGTGGGTATGTGGCCAACACGATGGCGCCATCGAACGGCGCCATGGCCGCCATCGGGCTTGGTGCAAGGGAGGTCTCGCAGTTTCTGGTCGACGGCGTTACCGTGGCCTGTGAAAACAGTCCCTCTAGCACGACCATTTCTGGTGACGCGGACAAAGTCGACGCAGTTCTCTCTGCGGTGGAAACGGCGGCTTCAGATGTGCTGGCGCACAAACTGGTAGTGAACATTGCGTATCATTCACACCATATGCGTTCACTAGCGGGCCAGTACTTCGAGCTCGTCAAGTCCGAGATGGCACGACACCCGCGCTTGACGCCAGCCAGCAGTCCATCCAGATCCAAAGCGGATTTCATATCCAGCGTGACTGCAACACGCCTCGAGGACCCGGCCATGTTCCTCCTCGGCCCAGACTACTGGGTAGGAAACCTCACCTCACCGGTCCTCTTCGCCCGGGCTGTAACCACGCATCTCCAGTCGTCCACGCAAGATGGCCTGTTCTTGGAGATTGGGCCTCACTCAACTCTGGCGGGCCCATTACGGCAGATCACTGCGGCGGCATCCAGGCCTTGTGTCTACGCCGCAGCCATGATTCGAAACGAAAACTGTGCCCACAGCCTCCTCTCTGCGTTTGGGCGATTGTTCCAGGAAGGCGTCCGCGTGGATTTCTCATCCCCTTCGTTGATGGGCAGCGGCGGGAAAGCCCTGTCCGGACTGCCTACGTATCCATGGGATCATAAGAGTTCATACTGGTACGAAAGCCGCGTGTCGCAGGCATGGCGTCTACGCAAGTTCGCCCACCACTGCCTGCTGGGAAGTCGGGTGCCCGAGACCCCGGACATGGAACCTCTCTGGCGGAACGTGCTGCATTTAGAGCACGAGCCCTGGCTGGCAGATCACAAAATCCGCCGCGATGTGGTGTTCCCGTTTGCCGGCTACATCGCGATGGCCGGGGAAGCTGTGCGGCAGATCAGTGGCGCGGACAACGGATTCAGTATCCGCCATGTGGTGGCACAATCTGCACTGGTGCTGGTCGAGTCGAAGCCAGTGGAGATGATGACAGCGCTGCACCCACGCATGATGACGGATTCGGATGATGGCGAGTGGTTTGATTTTGTCATCATGTCCTACAGCAATGATACCTGGACCAAGCACTGCAAGGGGCAAATCAAACCACTAGGAGAGGAAGTGATATCCAGCAGCAGGCCTTCACCGGACGGTCTTCCCCGTCAGGTGGAACCAGCCCGGTTCTACGAGGCCATGGCCAATGTGGGAATTGTGTACGGCCCGGAATTTCAAGGCCTCACCAACATTAACTGCTCGCCTACTGATGGGTTGGCGACGGCCGACATTGTGCGAGAGACTCCTGGCTCGAACGGGTCACGCTCGCCGTTCTTTATTCATCCATCGTCAATCGACGCCTGTCTCCAGCTTCTGCTGGTTGCCATGGCAAGGGGCCTGGGCCGCAACTTCAATCAGCTGTCTGTGCCCACCGTCATTGAGGAGCTGGAGGTTGCCAGAGGCGCCAATGTAATGCAGGCTATTGCTTGGCAACCCTCCCAACTTCAGCGCTCCGGGGTAGAATGCCTTGTAGAGGGTAAAACCGTGTTCCGAATGGCGGGCTTGCAGCTGACACCGCTGGATGATGACAGCCTCGCGGACGAGTCTAGCCAGGATGTCCACGCTGCTGCTCGGCTGGAGTGGTTCCCGGACTTCGACTTCATGGATGTGGGATCCTTATTCCAGCCCCCCGTGTCAGACCGAAATGAGACCCGCCTGCAGGAGGAGATGACCCTTCTTTGCGTCCTGGATACAGCAGCTAAGGTGGCAGGCTGCCAGCCCTGCCAGCCGCACTTTGCTCAATTTCGGAACTGGCTGCAGTTGGAGGTTGCCCGTGCCGAGCGTGGCGAGTATGCTCTCGTCGAAGACTGCCAGAGCTACGTATCTCTGTCGCCTGAGAAGCGTCAAGAGATGATCCAAGACCGGTATGAACGGTTGTTGCAAATGAACAAGCGGGCGGTAGCCATCAGCCTGATGCGCATATGTGACAACGCGGAGGCCATCTTCACGGGCCAGGCCGACACGCTCGATATCCTGATGCAGGATAACGTGCTCACAGAGCTCTATGACGTTGTCAGCTTCGGGCACAGTGATTTCGTGCGCTTCCTGTGCAACAACCGGCCGACGCTGCGAATCCTGGAGGTCGGCGCTGGCACCGGCGGAACTACAGAGCTGATTCTGCGCGACCTTGTCGACGACGGGGGCTTGCCGCTGTATTCCACCTATACCTTCACCGATGTTTCGGCAGGCTTCTTCCCACAGGCAAAAGAGCGATTCGCGTACGCTGTAAACATGGAGTATAAAGTCTTCGATATCTCCCAAGATTACGCGGAGCAAGGGTTTGAGCCAGGGACGTATGATCTGATTTTTGCAGCCAATGTCATTCACGCCACGCCCGTCCTCCAGGACACCTTACGCAACCTGCAGCCACTCCTCCGTGCCGATGGGATGCTGGTGATGACGGAGCTTTGTGCCGTCGTGCGAGCTCCCAACTATATCTTTGGCAACTTTTCGGGCTGGTGGCTGGGAGAGGCGGACAATCGACCTCACGAGCCCTATGTTCCAGTAGACCGATGGGATGTGGAACTCAAGGCCGCCGGCTTTGCTGGTGTGGATACGGTTGTCTATGATGAAGAGGAGCCATACCGGTATTGTGCCGCTATCTTGTCCAAGCCAGCTTCAAAGTCAGCCCTCGAGGGATGTCCGGAGCCGAAGGTCGCTATTCTCGCTGCCCACCTTGACACTGGGATTGCCCCGTCCCTCGTAGCCGGGCTGCGGCGGTCTGGGTACGTCGTATCTACCTGTCAACTGGGAGATGCGCTACCTGAAGACCATGATATCATCTCCTGTCTTGATCTCGAAATAAACTTTTTTGAGGACATCTCTGCAGAACGATTTGCCGCATTCCAAACGCTTCTTCGGTCCATCAGTACGCAGAAGATCCTGTGGCTCACAAAGCCCGTCCAAATCCACTGTCAAGATCCACGCTCTGCACAGACAATTGGCGTGGCACGAACCATTCGATCCGAGCTGGCAATGCCCTTCTTCACGCTCGAGATCGATCCTGCAGAGGACAGGTTTACAGACCTAGTGTCCCAAGTTTTCAACAAAATACGGCCCAAAGAGGACCACAACGAGCTGGCTTCAGACAAGGAATTTGCCGTTCATGAAGGAACAATCTGTGTCGGACGTTATCATCCCTTCTCCTTGACCACCGAGCTCTGCGAGAAGAGCAGCGAGAATATTACCACGACCAAGACCCTCCAAATCGGCCGGCCGGGCCTTCTGGAGACATTGAAATGGGTAGATCAGGGCCTTCCCGAGGTCCTACAGCCCGATCAGGTGGCTATCAAGACCCGCGCCATTGGTCTCAACTTCCGCGACATCGTGTTTGCCATGGGAATTATCCCCGCTGGCGCCGATGGGGAGGTCCCTCTGGGGCTGGAAGCAGCGGGTATCATCCAGCGGGTGGGATCCGAGGTTCAGGGCTTGTCTCCCGGGGATCGAGTCATGGCATTGGCGCCGCATGGATGCATCACGACCGATGCCATCTTGCCGGCTTCGTTAGTAGTCCGAATTCCGGACCACCTTAGCTTTGAGGAAGCGGCCACCCTGCCCATTTGTTTCGTCACGGCTTTGCGTGGCTTGATTGATATTGGCCGTTTGGAGAAGGGCCAGACGGTCTTCATTCACTCCGCGGCCGGTGGCGTCGGGATCGCAGCCATCCAGATCGCGAGATTACTGGGCGCGGAGATCTTCGCCACGGTGAGCACCGAAGAGAAGACCAGGTACTTGGTGGACCAGTGGGGGATCCCCCGGAGCCATATCTTCTATTCCAGAGACCAGTCGTTCGTCGCCGATCTCATGCATGCAACGGGGGGCCGTGGGGTGGACCTCGTGCTCAATTCGCTGTCAGGGGAGCTCTTGCACGCCTCTTGGAAGTGTGTGGCCGAGTATGGCATGCTCGTTGAGCTAGGTAAGCGAGATTTGGTGCAGTCCGGCCAACTCGATATGCGACCTTTCCTGGCAAATCGGAGTTACAGTTGCGTTGATATCTCGCAATTCATAAGGGAGCGGCCAGGGCTTATGGGCGGGTGAGCACGATGAAGTTTACCATGTGTTAAAAGGTCCAACTAACGTGAAGTAGGATGCTTACGAGACTCAACGGCCTCATGAAACTCGGCCTGCAGCCTATCACGCCCATAACCACATTCAGCGGCGAAGACTCCGGCCAGGCCTTCCGGTACCTGCAGCAAGGAACCCATATCGGAAAGGTCGTGTTGAGCATGCCCGAAGACACCTCATCCATACCATCTTCATTGTCACCGCGTCGCATTAGCTTCGACGGAACGGCAACATATCTCCTCGCAGGTGGTCTGGGAGGGTTAGGGCGTTCGCTCGCTATATGGCTCGTAGAGTCGGGCGCCAGACACTTGACTTTCCTCTCGCGAAGCGCCGGTATATCGGAGCAGAGCAAGCAGCTCTTCCAGGAGCTGAAAGCAATGGGATGCTCCGTCCATGCTGTCGCGGGAGGTGTCGATAAGATGGACGATGTGAAAAAGGCCATTTCCCTCTCCAAAGCTCCTATCAAGGGCGTGTTCCAACTAGCAATGGTCCTGGATGTATGTATTCCCCTTCTCCCACTCCGCTTCCCTCTCCTCGAGAAACCATTGGGCCATCCGCTAACATACCGAACTTGTCCAGGATGCACCCATCCTCGACATGTCCTGGTCTGCATGGCAGACTGCCACCCGGCCAAAGGTCCAGGGCACATGGAATCTGCATGAAGCGTTCCAAACCCACTCGCTCGACTTCTTCTGGCTGGCCAGCTCGCTGGTCACGGTCGTCGACCAGCCCGGCCAAGGTAACTACAACGCGGCGAACACCTTCTTGGAAGCTTTCTGTCAGTACCAGGCACCAGCAGGGTCTGCCGGCCTCGGTGTTGAACATCTGTCCCATCGACGGAGTCGGCTTTGTCGCCGAGAATCCGATCGCCCGCCGCAACATGAAGGCTCAGGGTCTCTATTTCCTGGGTGAGCGCGAATTCCTGGACTACGTTGAGCTCGGCCTCCTCAACTCCCATACCACGTTGACTCCCGCCGGGTCCGGCGCACCCTCATCTTCACCCTCAATCTCGCCACCTGCAGCTTGGAAGAACCCCGGGCAGATCCTGATGGGGCTCCGGTCGGAACTCGATCTCGATGATCCCAACAACCGGACTAATTGGCGAAGGGATCGCCGCATGGGCATCTATCATAATGTTCATGCGGAGGCGAGCAGCGAGGAAGGCAAGGATGCCAACACGATCAAGGCATTCCTTGCCCGTGCCGCGGACGACCCTTCGCTTCTGACGACGGTAGAGAATGTGTACCTGCTGGCGGAGGAGATAGGGCACAAGATCTACGACTTCATGCTGAAGCCGGACGAAGAAGTGGATCCCAGTCTGAGTCTCCAACAGATGGGGCTGGATTCGTTGATGGCCATCGAACTGCGGCGCTGGGTGCGGCAGACCATGGGATTGGAGTTTAGTGTGCTGGAAATGATGGGAATGGGTTCGTTGATTAAGCTGGCGGAATCAATTGCCCAGTCCTTGCAGGTGAAGTACGAGTCGTGATGAGGTGTCCAGCTGGTGTCGTCGACAGTTCTGTCGAATGCACCTATTACATGTTAGGGAACCCTGTGGGAGGTCCAGAAGAGGTGCCTACGGCCAACTGCAATTGATGTTTCATGATAGTATATAGTGGCTCATTTTATGTCTCTTCTGATGTATTATGAGTTGATGTAGAGCTCTTCTGTTCATCAAACCCAGGGACATGAAGCAACCATAGGGCCCCGACAACGCGTGAGAATCAGCATCTGTGTACAACGTGCCATATAAGGCCGATAGAGTATAGTAGGAATTTTGGATATCGTCGTTGTCGATGCCGAGGCATATAGTCGGATGTTTTCGGCTGCTTGGGGGTCCGCAAGTAATCAATGAGGCACTGCTCTCTTGATTGACCCTTAATACAATCCGCTCTGTGCAAATTTGTACGGAGTGCTACCTTTACCCTGCGGACAGGTATACTGCATGTATGACACAACAGGAGCCCTACAATATTCGACTATAAGTGACAATTTAAAATATCAAAGCACTTCAGATCTATCATCCAAGTGTGATGCATTTTGTAATACTGAGTCACTTTCTTGCTCAGTAAGCCCTGAGCCATTGTCAACCCATCGTCACTCATGTACTTAGCCTTTACATCAGGTTCCACAGGCTCACCAAAGGGATTAGTAATAACGCATACCAATTATGCATCATCTCTCCATTACCAACTGCCACTCCTGGGATTCATTAAGGAAACCAGATTCTACGACTTCTCTTCCAATGGCTTTGATGCTTCACTCAGCCACACATTTACGATCCTCGCCGCAGGGGGTTGTTTATGCGTGCCATCCGAGCAAGACCGGAGAAATAGCTTGGCGGAAAGCATAACGTCTCTCCGTGCAAATGCTATCGGGCTTACCCCTTCAGTTGCCAGGTTGCTGAACCCTGCTGACACCCCAACATTAGCAACGCTCTTGTTTTTCGGCGAGGCTTTGCGTGTCAGCGACGTTCAACGCTGGTGGAATAAAGTGAGGATCAGCAATATATACGGACCTAGCGAGTGTACGCCCTACGCTGTCATCAACACCAGCGCGGCGAGTCCGCAGGAGACCACTCGACTAGGCAAAGGTGCAGGACTAGTGACATGGGTCGTTGATCCCGATAACCATGACCGTCTACTACCCCTTGGCGAAACTGGTGAGCTACTTCTAGAAGGACCACTAGTGGGCGAAGGGTACTTGGAAGATGCAGAAAGAACTGCATGAGTGTTTATCCAGGACCCAGTATGGCTACGACAAGGTGGACCCAATCATCCAGGACGATGCGGACAACGTTTGTACAAAACAGGGGATCTTGTCCACTACAACAACGATGGAAGCCTGACCTATGTCGGTCGCAAGGATACGCAGATTAAGATTCACGGGCAGCGAGCGGAACTCGGAGAAATAGAGTTTTGCTTGGAGCAGCACTTGCCAGAGGCAAAACAGGTTATAGTTGAGACAATCACAGTCAAACAGGAGGAATCAAGCACAGTGTTGGCAGCTTTCATTCTGCCACGTCAGACCTCGGCCAATACCGAGGGACCGGGAATGACTTCCATGGAGATATACCATGTGCCCCTTGATGTCATACACGTACTAGGTGAGACCCTGCCAACATATATGATACCGTCCTTTTTCCTGTCCATACGTGAATTTCCCAGAACCATATCGGACAAGTTGGACCGGAAAACGCTGCGGGAAATAGGTACTTTGTGGTTCCAGCAATGCGTTAAGGATCAAAGCCACGTGGTTAAGACAAAACCAACATCTCACGTGGGAATTGAGCTCCAAAGAATCTGGGGGGACGTTCTATGCATTGACTCGGTGTCAGTCGGGCTTCAAGATAATTTCTTTCGAATAGGAGGTGACTCTATTGCAGCAATGAAGGTCGTGTCCAAGGCTCAACAGGCTGGTCTCGGGCTGACGTTTTCCGAGGTCTTCCAGTATCCCACGCTTGCTAATCTGGAAGGTCGGTGTCGCCTTGAGCGCGCGAGACCCGTTGAACCGATTTCGCCTTACTCTCTTTTGGGAAGTGGGTGGAATGAAGCAATTTTTCAGGAGATTGTGGCCTATTATCAGCTGGATCCCGAAACAGTGGAGGACGCATATCCTTGTACACCCCTACAAGAAGGTCTCTTGTATCTATCATTACAAAATCCAGGTACATACATGATGCAGCGAGTTTTGGAATTGCGTCCGGATATAGATACGAGAGAATTCTGTTGCGCATGGGACAAAATGGCCCAGAGTACGCCCATCCTACGAACAAGGATCATACAACATAGCGACATTGGTTTCCTGCAGGTGGTCCTGAGGGAGGACATGCAACGGATTCATGCAAAAGGTCTACGGCAATATCTTGAGAAAGACAAAGCAACTCCCATGGGCCTCGGAAAACCTCTTGTACGCTGCGCGATCGTCACGGACGAAGAAGCCAACCGCCGATGGTTCGTATTGACCCTTCATCATGCTCTATATGATGGCTGGTCAATGCCGCTATTGCTGCAAAGGCTGAGCGATGCGTATCATGGAATGCCCAAGAGACCCACTCAACCAGAGTTCAAGGCCTTCATCAAATACATCCAGGGCCAGAGCCACGAACGCGCTGTCGAATACTGGAGGGATAATGTTGCCGAATGTGACTGCGAACCATTCCCAGGACTTCCATCGTCAGTACAGCAGGTTAAGACTGATAGTGAGATCACACATACAATATCATCTCTGAACATACATAAACCAGGCGTTACTCCCGCTATACTTGTCCGTTCAGCCTGTACTCTCCTCCTCAGTCATAGGACCAACTCAGACAAAGTAGTGTTTGGGATCACTACATCTGGCCGAAGCGCTCCTATTACTGGTATTGAAGAGATAATAGGTCCAACAATTGCGACGATCCCACTGTACGTCAAGATACAGGAGTCACAAACCGTTATGGAATACCTTGGCACCATTCAACAGCAAATGATGAGCATGGTATCCTTCGAGCAGTTCGGCCTGCAGAATATTGCGAAGTTCAGCCCTGATACTTGTCAGGCTTGCATGTTCCAGGCTCTTCTCATTATTCAACCCGAGGAATTTGCAAAAGCCGATAATACCTTTGGGGAGTGGGAAAAGTGCCAAGAGTCGGAGTGGGACAACACCTACGCCCTTGTACTGGAGGTGCAGCTTGGGACTGGGCGCGTCAACGCTAGATTTGATTCCAATATCATCGAATCGTGGATTGTTCAGGACCTACTGGAAGGACTCGACTTTGTGATAGGGCAGCTCAGTACAGCACAATCCGACAACCGAATCACGGATATCCCCCTAGTGCCGCCCGAGAGTCTCGAGCGCATATGGGGTCGGAATAATATCGTCCCATTCGCAGTCAAAGCAACAATTAACGAGATTGTTGGCAAGCAGGTGAAGGAACAACCGACTGCAATGGCAATCCATGCGTGGGATGGAGACCTAACATACGGCGAGCTAGATCACCTCGCCACGAACCTGGCAACCAAGCTCGTCAGACTTGGAGTCCGTCCGCCCCTACTGGGGCCGAACAATGTGATTCCACTTTGCTTTGAGAAATCGAAGTGGGCCATAGTATCCATCGTCGGGGTCCTCAAGATAGGTGCAGGCTTCGTATTGCTCGACCCGTCTCTACCGGAGTCTCGATTACGCTCTATCATTCAGACAGTCGGAGCCAAGATACTGCTCTCCTCCGAAGCCAACATAGATCTAAGCCGCCAGCTATCCAAGATAGTGATACAAGTTGGTTCAGAGTTGTCCAGGATTTCGAGTGATATGAAAAATCAACTTGACGGTGTCACGGGACAACCGCCACTACCCTCCAGTCTACTATATACAGTGTTTACCTCCGGTAGCACGGGGACACCTAAAGGAGTCATGGTGTCACACGAAAACTTCTGCTCTGCTCTACATCATCAATCAAAGCATTTAAGCTTCACAGCAAGGTCCAGAGTCTTGGATGGTGCATCATATTCGTTCGATGCTGCAATCCATAACATTCTGACGACACTTGCGGTCGGAGCATGTCTGTGCATACCCTCGCAAGAGAGCTACAAGGGTAACATCGGCAGTGCTATTGCGGCTATGCGCCCTACCATCTGTAATTTAACCCCAACAGTAGCCCGCCTGTTAGACCCAGAGAGTGTATACGACCTGGAGACGTTGATACTACTGGGCGAGCCTGTTACGAGGAGCGATATTGACCGATGGAAATCGAACAATGTTCAGGTCATAAACGCCTACGGACCTGCTGAGTGCACACCGATTAGCACTATCAACGCTCATCCGTCTAATACAGAAGAAGGTATCCGAATTGGAAAAGGCACAGGTGTGACAACCTGGATTGTACATCCTAACAACCATAATCGGCTAGTACCGCTAGGATGCACCGGTGAATTACTTCTTGAGGGGCCCCTTGTTGTCTTAGGCTATATGAACGACCCAGAAAAGACAGGAGATGCATTTGTGGAAGATCCTGAATGGCTGCTCACAGGCTCAACGAGTCATCCAGGTCGCCGTGGTCGCCTCTATAAAACCGGCGATATGGTGCAATACAACGAGGATAGAAGCTTGTCATTCAGGGGACGCAAGGACAACCAAGTCAAGATACGTGGCCAGCGGGTAGAGCTTGGAGATATCGAGTACCATGTTTCGGCTTCCTTGCCAACGAAAGCGATTCAGGTCGTGGCCGAGGTCGTTGTACTGGAGGATGACGGAGAGCCGAAACCGGTGCTGGTAGCTTTTATCCACTCGGATAACAATGCTATTTCTTCCAGCAAGGAGACGACAGTCACTCCAAAGCCATACCAAATGACCGACGAGACCATGCAACGGATTTCACGCCGTCTGTCTATTATTCCCGACGTTTTTGTCTCCATGCAGAAACTTCCTCTGACGCCAACGGGAAAGATTGATAGCAAAGAAGTTCGTGAGATAGGCCGGTCACTGCTCTTGAGTGAAGGGAATGTCTTCGATGGCACTTCCGACCCATCTTATAACGGCGACGACTCTCAAGGCAACTTAATACTGCAGAATGATCATCCTGCATATGCCATCGCCCAGAAGGTGTATTCTATGCGTCCTTCGTGGATGAAAAACGGAGATCCAAGCTTACAAACTGGATACAAAGATATCTCTTTACACTCCTCCGGTCTGGACTCCGTCAATATGATGGAACTCACCTCATTCGTCTCACGCCGTCTCAATATCCAAGTCGACATGCAATGTGTAATAGCCAAGGCGACCACTATCAGAAGCCTAGCGGAGTATGTACTCCACTACCAAAAGAACGGTACTAGCCCTTCCTCCGCCGAGCATACCTCAACTGGGGTCGACCTAATGAGAGAGATCAATCGACATGACTCAAGGATTCGGGCTGCCCAACTCAAACTTTCACGAAGCAATAACCCAGCATTCAAGCATTCCTCAATCTGTAGAGACAAGGGATCATTCACCGTCTTCTTGACCGGAGCCAACGGTTTCCTGGGTACTCAGATCCTCCGCCAACTCCTGTCCAACTCCAAGGTTAGCCGCCTCATCTGTCTCGTCCGTGGTGATACCGATGATGTTGCGAGAGAGCGTACCATCAGTATGGCTAAAGAAGCCCTCTGGTGGACGGGCCACCACGCAGAGAAGCTCGAGGTTTGGAGGGGAGATCTAACATTACCCAAACTTGGACTTGACCCAGCCCGCTGGGAATCTCTCAGTTGTGGTCAAACAATTGATTATATCATACACAACGGTGCTACCGTACACTGGATGAAGGGCTACGACGTTCTAGAGGCTGCGAACGTCGGATCGACCATGGAATTGTTGGAAGTCGCACTGAGATGTCCCAAGATGAGATTCGTCTATATCACAGGCGGTCGCCCATGGAAGGCCCATGAAGAGGAAGACGTTGTGGCGGAGCTGTCCGCTCCCGATGCCATCCCCTACAGCCAAACGAAGTTAGTCTCTGAAGTCGTCGTCCGACGCGCTGCAACACGCAAATTACCAGAAACCTCTACCCCCACCCCACCAGGAAATATTGCTGTCATAAACCCAGGATGGGTGATGGGAACACCAACTGAAGGCTACTCTAATACTACGGACTATTTTTGGCGGCTTGTAGCAACATGCATCCGATTGGGTGTATACAACGGAGAGGACGCGGAGGGATGGCTATCCATTTCCGATGCTACTACCACTGCAGAAGCAGTTTCCGAGGCAGGATTCAGCACAAGAAGTGATATTTTAGGCGATGAATATGCTACACAAGGAATGGCTTGGCGAGAGTTTTGGGCCATACTGCAGGATAAGGGGTACAAGCTGGAGGGAGTGAGTCTAGCTTCGTGGATGGATCTTGTCGGCGCGGATATTGAAGCTGCAAGGGAGAAGCATCCGCTTTGGCCATTGAAACATGTATATGGATGGTTGCAAGGGAACGAGAGAGTGGCTGGTAGGGCACGAGGGGTATCTGGTGATACTCCGGTACGGTTGAAGGTGGCTGTTAGGATGGGAGCTGAGTTCCTTGTCGGGGTAGGGTTTATACCCGCGCCTACGGGTATTTCTTCAAGGAACGGGATGAATGGGCAGTAGACATAGGTGGTTGAAGTTTAGTTAAGTGAACATGTAATTTGATGTGACTTGACAGCCAGTACTGATCTTCGAGAAGAGGACGGTTTAGTGTGCAGTAGAAGAACCGCATCTGGAACACTTAGCGCTTTGTAGTCGATAATGGGCTTGGGGTGGCGAATTGAGTTTGAAGTACTAGACCCAAGGATTATATTATAATGATTGAGATTATTTTGTTCTGATATGTTAGTATCCTGGATGATACTGTTTCCCAAGGTTTAACAACACTGCAGTTCGCCTTAAGATCTCAATGTCACGGGAAAATCTCCTACTCTGTCATTAGCTATTCATATGTTGATTCGAAAGTCATGTGTTTAAAATTTTTTTGTTTGGCCTAGTTTCTAATATACTTGTTGTGGTAGTAGCGACCACCAAAACGGAATCGCCCAATGCCTGCTAATCACTTCCATAGCATAGTGTCCAGTCGCCCGAATTGTCAATCTGAGTCCCTACTATAACGCTCAGAAGCTCTTTGGCATAAGCAGCCGCAGCCGCAGCCGCATATCCCTGCCATACCTTATTTTTGTGCGAATCGGAATAATCGCAGATTCCTCGGATCACCAGACTGCGGAACGAGTCAACAATGCCAGCTGCTTCCATCTCAAAGCAGAGAATGCCATGTTTGTCCCGCAATTTGTCGCGAGTCTTGCTGTCTCTCATTACATTGTTACCAGATGCGATAAGTCCATAGTGGATACGGGGAGCAGTAGAAAGTCGTGGTTGGCGCCGGACCAATTTCGAACGGTCGCATCCATCGCAGGAACTACCTTCTCTGAGGGTATCATGATCGTAGTCACTCGCAAAGAGGATGTCGTGCTCTACACCAGGATGCGAGTAAACCGCACTCATATCAGGATACCTTTCCACAATTTCAGTGAGATACTTTTTCAGGATCGGTCGTTTTCGAAGATGATCCGCCATGAGCCGAGAAACAGCGGTCAAGAGAACATCCGGCGGTCGATTGAGAGATCCCGTGCAGTGGAACTGGCCATTTGGTACGGTCTTGCCAAAGTCGTACTGGATGATTCCCCCAAGTGGCCCGGTCGGCTCTCCCACAACAACATCTCCCAAACGGACATCTTTCACACCAGGGACACCGCCACCGATACCCACCAGCAACCCAAATTTGAGCGACGAGAAGGTAACCATCATGTTATCTGCAACTCTGGCAGCAGATACTGTACCTATCACACCAGCTGGAAGACAGGCCATGACAACGTTGTGTGAACCTATTCGACCAAGGGTATAATTATTTTGGTCGGCTGCACTTTGAGGTAACGGTGGGTGGATATCATCCAGGACTGCCTGGGCGGCCGCGAGTTCTGTCGGAAGGGCACAAATCCATCCAACTGTATAATCTCGGTGGATAAAATTCGCACGTTGGGAAGTATTTTTACCGGATATGTACTCTTCTGATGGCGTCGTGATCCCTTGAGCTCTCAAAGCATCGTGAGTAAAAGAGGAAGCCGCAGTGAACTCTGGTAGGGAAGGTGTAGTGGGTTGTATCTGTCCCCATGAATTAAGATCCATTTTCTGCACAATGTCGTCCAGTTTGTCAATATGGACAGTGTTTCCGAAGCCTCGATGAAGTTCGTCCTCAAGAGGCTGAACAATGCTTTCAGATATCAAATGTTTCAAAGCCTGTTCGCTAAGCTCTTCGTCATCTGGACCTAACGCGATGTTGGGATCGAGGCATTTGTCCACTGCCTGTCGATAGTTGTCTGGAAACTCATCCTTGAACCGATCAAAGGCGGCGATTGCAATCCTATACCGCGTATTCTCATCGACCGACTCTAGATTATCACACTCCTGTACTCCAAATTGACTAGCCAAAGTATGCAGTGGCTGCACGACGTACAACTCTATGAGCATGACAGCCAACATGACGATCTCAGGGTAGGGGTGTAAAGGTAGATCATCCGGATCAACGTCGCCGTCCTGATTTGTATGTTCAGGGTTATCTACCGTCTCCGCTAAACTCGTGTGGATATATGGTTTTAGTGGTATCGCTGTGGAAGTACCGTAAAAGAAGATATTATCGGGACGGAAGTTTGAGGGTCGCAACCATGGCGTGCCATGAAGATGTAAGACGGAATATGCAAGAAGAACGGAAAGAACACGCTTCATCTTCTCTGTGAGACGGCTCGGTTGATTTTTGATGATATCTCTTAGAGAGACCTGGAGTATTGATCTGTGTATGGGATGCTCGATTCGAAGTGAGTGGTCTTTCCATAGTTTGCCGTCCTCGACCCACAGATTCAAGCACATAGACGGCATCTTTCTGAGCTTATCGATTTGTTCACAGAGTCTCAGTACCTCCAGTCGACTCTGTTCGCATATACTTACAACCTCCAGCCGACGGCGCTTGGGCCCCTTCGCACTATGATTAGTATGTGTTAACGCATCACTGAAATCTAATCTCTGTTTCACAGGACTGCCGAAAATGTCGACATTGATGTGAGTTTCTTGCCAACTATTATAGGTCGCACTGAGTGTGACTAGTCCCTCAAATCTGCATCGATCGTGATCGTGTTTTCGGTGGGTCGCTATTCGGAGTCTGGCAGCGGACTGGTGAGTGTGGACATGTGAACACGCTCTGGCCGAAGAAAAGAGCGCCTGGAACACCGTGTTGGCGCTCAGCGAGACCGAGGAAGGTCTGCCTTTTACTCCAAGCACTGTGCGATGCTCTCGGGCAGGTGGATTGCCAGGGTGCTGTAACTGCAGAGCCGCAGCACACCCGCGGAGCAAGAGGATGATCTTGTATCTTCGCTCGTGACAATACAAATCCAGCCATCCCCGAACGTGATGCGCCGTTCGACCAACGTCACCGTATAAACGCCAGTAGTGGATCAATGTAGTCAATTTTGGAAACTGTGTTGATGGTGGAAGGGATGATTCGTATTCGGGCAAGACTGATGATTCTTGGAATGCCTCCAACTCCTTCAGCACCGGGTCAACCAGTGCCTCGACTTCAGCGGCCCATTCCGGGGAAGGACTTTGGCGAGGTACAAGATACCGATTTAGAAGAAGGCAACATTCATTGAGATGACCAAAAAATACCCGCAGCTCTCGAGGTCCAGAGTCTCCGAAATAGTCTGCAACAGTGTGGAACGGCTCGAGGCAATCACGAAGAAGGTGGATGGTCTTCTCAAATACATCTAGAGTCAGACAAAGCTCCCTAGCATAGAGGGCACAGCGTGTAACGGACTCCTCACCTGGAGTGGCATCATTTAAGACTCATTTGTATGTCAGCAACCATGATTAAAGAACGCCTTCTTTGAGGATATAGGAGTACTGGTCGTAGGGGAAGATAAAAGGAGTAGAGAGGGTCGACGGTAAAGCGAGAATGGCTGATGTGGTGCAGGGCACGGTAACTACTAACTACTAGTGCAGCTCAGCCTCGCGCGTCTACAACTCACCAGCTTCCTTCCTTCCTGGACTTCAAAACCACCGACTTGATTCTCTTTCTTTACCTTCTAGTCGCAATGGGTACGGAGTCTTGGAAGACTGTAACCCTTGCCGAATCTGCGAACCTCTGTCTAGAATCTTTCACCAAATGTCTCTCTCGGTTTGGCCATCTCACCGTACGGGAGCAGTCAGCCATCGAAGACCAAATTGGACAATTCTCGATCTGGTCTTCCAATATAGGGATCTTTGCAGCAGCGAAGAGCTCTCTTGATTACCGTCTTTGCAATGCGGCTCAGGTCCAACGACTGCTTCGCCGCTTGCTCCGGATACTGAACGACCATATCGAGCGACGTAACATCATCGTTATGACACCTTCGAAAGAGACTTTTGGCTAACGCAAGCACTTTACAGTTTTGACAGCGATAAATAGCCCTCTTGAAGCAGGAACAACTCAACCGAAACCATCTTCCTCTTTCTCTGAGGCTACTGAGGTGGATCCTATCATCCGGGAAATAGCAGACGAAATCGACCTGATCCACAAGCTTTCCAGAGCAATACGCATTGTGAGCAGAGAGTCCCAGTACTTAGGCACTTCAGCCTCTAAACTGTGTGATAATGTTAGCGGTGATGTCAAGGGCTCACGCATTAATCAATCTGACTTGGAGGTCATTCAAGATAAGTTTCCAAAGTGTGATTACTCACTCCAAAGGAGGCTGGCAGCTACCATGCTGCTACGTCGAAGGGAACAGGTGATTCTCTACTGGAGCTCCCGAAACTGGAATCTCTCCTCTCGATATTCTACTATTCCAAAACGGGCCGTCTCTATCCCAGAATTATCTCCAAGTCGCAACCATATGGAATCCCCTCCAGTACTGCCAACATCTGAGGCCATAGAAGAAGATTTTAGTGGCACCTCTTTGTTGAGACCGATGACGATACAGCTCGAAAAGTTCAAAGCACGACGCACCCTGTCTCGTCTCAGCTGGGCAAGCACATCATCCCTGAGAGACAGCGATCTCCTCGAGTTTCCTCCAGCACAGCCAGCATCTGAGGCCAAACAAGACAATTCTAGTAGCTCCTCTTTGTTGAGCCCGATTGTGCTAAAGTTCGAGAAACTCAAAGCACAACACACCCTGTCTCGTCTCAGCTGGGCAGACACATCATCCAGGAGAGACGCCGAACACCTCGCGTTTCCTCCCGCACCCATCGAATCAATTCTTCAGAGATTACAGACCCTCAACGATAATCATATAGCGACAGAAAAGGCGTTCCTACGGGGGAACACCAGCTACTCTCGTGGCGTTACACCACCTATGCCTTCAATGTTTAGCAAAGGCCAGCGTGATTGGCGCGGGATCAGCCTAATGGAATCAAAGCGGGATCTGGAACGCGAGTGGTCAATCTGTATGGAAGGCGCAAGGAATGTCATCTGTCCTTATTGTTACTGTGATCTTCCTAGTTCAGTTGCCATGAACCAGAAGAAGTGGAGGTAAGTCACGATGCATGGATTGATGTCAGCCCTGTTACATGAGACATTGTGTTAAGAAAACCCAAGTGATCATGTCAAGGGTGACCTCGACCTCTACATTTGTTTGTTCGACCGCTGTGACACTCCCTACTACAAGTTATACAATACCAAAGACGAATGATTAAACCATATGCGTCAACATAGGCCGCGATGGCGTTGTGCCGCACGGGCGCACGGTGTCCTTGTCTTCTATGAAAAAAGCGAGTACGAAGAGCACATGCGCCGAAAGCACAAAAGCACCCAACCACAACTAGCCATACTCGCTGAGAGAAGTAGTCGACCCTCTGGCCCTGTCTTTCAGTCCTGCCCGTTGTGTGGTGAAGGAAATCGGGCTGATCTCGAGGAGCACATTGCTGACCATCTTACATACCTTGCATTGATGTCAATCCCCTTGCCTAAGAGCCAATCGACCGATGATCACATGAAGATGGCTGCAAATTTGGATACCGATCATCTCCGGGCCGGGGGCGCTGGACGGACCGATTCCTATCACTCTTTTGACGAAAGTGAAATGGAAAAGGCAGGAGATCCCTCCAGGCTCCCTGAATCCCCCTTTGCCGTATTGAAAGAGTCAAAACAAAAACAGACAAAGGGAAAGGCACCAGTGAAGGACCGTAATCAGGAAGAAACTCACAGGAGGTAATTACAACAAGCCCTGTCTTTATGTAGTTTCCGAAAGGCTAATTCAAACACCGGATTCTTTCCCGGTCGGTGTCAATGGATGGGCTGTACTGAGTCATAAGAATTTAAGGGAGAGGAGATCTCCTTCGTCATATTTTCGCCACCCATATGGAATATCCTTCTTCCTGTCCTGTGGAGGGTTTCGGGCAACCGTTTTCCGATAGACAAGAGTTTCAGAAACATCTGAGGACTGACCACAATAAGGATTTGCGGACTGACCCCGGCAAGGGTCTTTAGAGGGTCAGCTATGCTCCTCTTATCTACCTCCTCTATACCAGCAAAAAGACTAACACATTTCCAAGACCTGGAATTAGATATCTTCCGACACGTAGCCAATGGGCCGGCTGCACTACACAGGATTATTTCGACTCACACGTTGACCTCAGCCGACATATTCGAGACATGCATTTATAACATATTTGTCTTTTGTCTTGGAATGTTGGGCCTAATTAACTTTATTTGTTTGTTTTCTGGCAAGGGTATTCACTAAAATCTCCGTCTCAATCAACCCGCGATTTGATGAGACGTCGAAAAAAGGCCACGGCTTATCCAGTTTAGGAACAATCACTGCAAGGCTCAGGACCCGCTCGTGGATGATCCATCTCCTGTAAGGCTGATAAGACTCAATACACTCTACTAGTCCAAACTCAAACAATACGCGCACAAATATTTGGGACATTAGACTTCCTGTAATACCCACTGCCAAGTTAGGGATGCTGATCTTAGTCTGATTAAGAGAGTTCTGCAGGGTTTGGGGTAGCACAAACTACGTAATATGTTGAGAACACTGAATGTCACCAGTGACGAGAGAAGATATATTTCTAATTTGTAATACTACTCCTCCATCCTCAAGAAGCATTACAATCTTTCATCTCTCTCCATTTTCCAGTCCTCTGAGACCACACCATGACCAAGAACTCCGAGCTTAACCACCTCCACGAAACCCTCTTCGAACAGGGTATAAAACTCCGCCGAGCCGTCGTCGGCGACGCGTACGTGGATAGAGCCCTGGCCCAAGGATCCAGCGACTTTTCGCGTCCCGGCCAAGAACTGGTTACCGAATGGTGCTGGGGTAATATTTGGACCAGACCTGGACTTGAGCTGAAGCAACGAAGCCTATTGAGTAAGTGAGATAAACTTCCTCTAGAGAATATAAATATAGCTAAAGCAGGCTCAGACCTGGGTATGTTAATCGCGTTGAAAGCCTGGCCGGAATTGGCTCTTCATACTCGCGGTGCTATCATCAATGGCCTTACCGAGAAAGAGATTAGCGAGGCGGTTTTGCAGGCTACTTTTTACTGTGGAGGTCCTTCGGGGATCGAAGCTACGAAGGTTACGGAGAGGGCTATTAATGAGATGATTGCGAATGGGGAGTATAAGCGGGAGTAGAGTGTACGTTGTTAATTGTTGGGTTTAGAGTATCAGAGATCTCAGTGGTCTTGGAACGATGGATCGCTTGTGTTTGCTGATAATAAAGATGACTTAGAAAGTTAGAGCAAAGTACTAAATTTAGAGAGGGCATACTACTTCTTACAGGCTGGATCTAAACATTGCCCTCCGCATCTTTGTTTCATTATTCAGGGATACTGTAGGTCGTTATTGAAAGGCCCAAAAGATTATTAGCTTTCTATTTTACTGTTTGTCTTTGAGTGGAGGTAGAAGAAGATGTGCGGAAGTGAGTGTTGCCTCGAACAGGTTTAAACGCTGAGGTGTACCCAAACGAGGATGTATCAGACAATCACACGTCTTGAAATCTGTCTGGGCTGCGTAAATAGAGATGCATATATCAGTCAACAGAATACCCAGATCATATCCTCACTATAACGCCGTCAACTCGGCCAGAGCCATAATATATTTGCCTATATATTCCTTCCCATAATGGTAGACAGTAGAAAGATCTGTCATTCGATACCATTGTAACCTTTTAGTTTCTCTGCTTCTCTTTCATGACACCCTCCCATCCTTTTCATATATAAATCCCCGCAAGTCAGTCTCGAATCCTAGTCATAGTAGGAACATCACCCAGACAATTCTAAGAGAACAGGCATCCATATGCAACATGAACGAGCTGCTACACAGCCCACGCAACATGGGAAATCGGGAGAGCAATAACGGTGACAACAAGACGAATGCCACCTCCCTCTGCATACTCCTTCCAACATCATGAAGATTTCACCATGACAGTGATAGCCACAATATCCTCATCCACTGAGGCGTAGACACTCTCGGATGTTTAAATTATCCCACTCATTGATCGGGAGATTGTGTGCTCAATGTACCAATTGAGGAAGACATACTTCGAGTAGACCTTGTCATGATCTGTAAGATATATGATAGCCATGCACTAAAGCCCGTGCTCTCGGACGAAGGTCTTAGCAGCACGGGTATCAGAAAGACTCGGGAACGCTGCCACTTCTTCCTGGTATTCGAACCTTCCGCAGTGGGTAGGGAAGCCAGCCGTTTTTTGCGATCTTAAAGTATTGTTTGATCGAATTTATAATCCGGTGATGAGTGGCTCATGCGATCGGTAATGTATCTGATGGCATACTCCCCTGGAGGTGTCAAAAGGCTGTTTTCAGTTACCACTGCCGACCACGCTTCATCTGGGATGAGGTCGCCTATGTCGAAGCACACGTTGATAGCATTATGTCTGTGCAGGTGCGTCGACCCCGTATCAGGTATACGGACGATTTATGACCCATTGATGTGGGGATTTTATGTCTCTTCTATAATTGGTAAAAATTCGGTCTTTCATAAATCCACTAGGCATGGCATCCACTTTGAGCAAGCTTCATAGACGCGGTCCATGGATTCTTATATCCAGGTTCACCAAAAGTTTTGATAGACTTTTGACAGAGGCAGAAGGTCTGATTTGTAGCGCCTTACTACCTACGAGAGTGATATTTGCCTGCGGCTCTCGGTGGTATTCTTCGGAAGTTAGGAGATCAGCAAGGCAAGTCATTTGGCGTAAGGTGTTCACCAAGTGAACTGACCAGCCCGCCACTGATGTTTGGAGCGACATGTTGCGCAGATACTCAACCCCAAATATCCCAAATGTCCCTGCATTTCTTTTGTACAGCATCCAGGGAGACATATTGCGACAATTGATGTTGTTTGGAAGTGGCCGCTGGATGAAAAGTGCTCCGGTAGAGACAAGCTGTCAGATACTTTCTATATGTTTCCTCATCACTCCTTGACACCACCACCCATAGGGTGGAAGTAAGATTAGCTAGCCAGTGGGCTCTCCGCACCGAAGCTCAGAGCGGGTATGTCAACGGAATACTTCTTGAGTAAGGCCCGTGCAAGAGAGGGCTGATTGAGGTGAAGTCCGAATAGGCATTATATAGCTCATCATATTTCGACCACACCTTCATCCACGGAAGGATTGTAGTGCTGATTAAAGTCGAATCTAATGCGGCCAAGGACACAGCAATGAACGTTGTGCCCGTGTTATCCGTAGTATATCGTTATAACACCGTTCGTCGGTTGAGGAATCCCAGATTGTCGCCGTGGTTCTCGATATTCCAATGGCGTTTGGATAGAGCTGTGGAACATGGGCATAGACATCAGACCGAGAGTGTAACCTGCGATGCTTGGATATCGCCATAAATTTGCTGATACCATTCAACACGTTCGACTGTCAAATTGGTGTCACAGATAAACGCGAGGTCGATAGTTAGGTCCTTCAGAAAGACTGTGGCATTAAGGAGATTGGCGATGACTCCTAGACCCTTTCCATTCAGCGATGCGATCGACAATGTTCGACTGGCTAATATTAGTAAGGAAGAACGCAGTCGACTCAGGGTCCGTCTATCGTCCGAATGTTGCTCAGCACACCGCAGAATCTGACGCGGGACTTCTGCTCGTTTTCAGGACAGGGGCTGATGCGTGGTATAGATCAGGTGCAATGAGCTCCTCGATATCGATGTTTTCAAAAGGCAAACAGCCCGACCCATCGTATGGGTAGAATGTGACCACCCAGCGTTTTTCTGAGTTTTAAGGCAGTTACCAGAGTGACATAAGTGAACATTCTGGCAATTGTCCATAGCACGATATTACAGCCCGCTATGCTTGTGACTCTGCCGATGGATGATCATTACTGCCGCATCCGAAGCAAATCAGATGGGAGAGTGATAGAAAGCACCAGATTTAGCAAGAAAACAATGCTTGACCGGCATTCAGATTCGTGGAATTCCCGAAAGAGTCGGATAGTCGCAGATGTTCCTGCAGTTCTATGGAGGCTCCACCACAAAATAATCAAAATTATACATAGTGTGTCCCGAAAATTACGACACATTAGGTAGACTTCCGTTATTGAGGTTGGATTAACAGGAGCAATTTCAACGATGTCGTCGACGAGATTAGCCTCAGAGCGTGAGCCGTATGAGCATGTACGAATATGCCTCAATGGGTTAGGCGCCAACCGGATCATCCAGTCGATATCTATAGGGTCGAAGACGGCCGACCAGTGGAGTCTTGCTTGACTTGGAAGTTTATATGGGTTGTTTTCGTAGCTCCCGTGACTGCAAAACTTTGCAGTAGATACATAAAGCGATTGACACTTGGTCTGTCTTTCGAGAAGGATCTTCACCTGCCAATGTTCGAACTGCTGCGCCAACACGTCTAGCACAATATAACCGGCCGCTGTATATGAATGGTAGGAGTAGTAGGACGGGAGTGTCGTTCAATTCGCTCGATCTGAGCCTACCCCTGGTTGCCATCAACATCTGAAGCAATGAGATGAAGGCGTACGAAGGATGCTCACAAAGAGAAAACTGATGTCCACGACCACCCCAAGCGCTGTTACAACAGGCGCCGCGGAAAAGGCCGGACGCGGTCACGCATTCAGCAAAAGACCTTTGCCTTCACGGCAGCAAGAACAGGCGGCAGAACCGATATCCTCAATTCCACGGGCTTGGAGAAGCGCAGTCTGACGTGTTTGATCGTTTGCAACGTCAGAAG